TATGTTATAATGTTCTAATTCATTCAAGCCTTATGTTATATTGTCCTAATTAATTTACCCCCCCCCCCCCCCCAGCAAGCCTTATGTTATAATGTTCTAATTCATCCCCACCCCCACCTTTCCTCCTGAATGTTCATGCCAACCCCACTCAGTTTCATTATATATTGTCATGATTCGCGTGTACAGAATAGTTTCCCAGTAACCACGTCCACGTTTGTGTGTTATGTTTTCATAAATACCAATTTGAGCACATGATACTCTCATGATTCTTCAGTCCCACGTTATGTTCTCAGAATTCTTATGTATATGAATTCCGTGTCTCAAGTTATGTTTTCTAATTTTTAGATTCTCCGGTCATTTGTATCCTGTTTCTCAAGCTTCCTGTCATGTTTTCGTTATTATCAAGTTTGATGTTATTTTTTTCTTGTCCACCATTTTAAACAGCACAGTAACAATCATACATAAATATTTTATAAACAGCACCATAACAAACATTAGCAAATATCATAAACAGCACAGTAATACATATAGTCAGCCATAACAAACATCATAAACATCACACTAATACACATAGTTAGCCATAACAAACATCATAAACATCACACTAACACACATAGTTAGCCATACAAACATCATAAACAGCTCAGTAACACACATAGTTAGCCATAACAAACATCATAAACAGCACAGTAACACACACAGTCAGACATAACGAACATCATAAACAGCACAGCAACACACTTAGTCAGACATAACGAGCATCATAAACAGCACAGTAACACACACAGTCAGACATAACGAACATCATAAACAGCACAGTAACACACATAATCAGCCATAACAAACAAGACGACATCAACAGTAAACAACAGGCGTGGTTTACGGAATAGATCAAATAGAAATCAGAGTACGTCAGGTGATTCCATGTTTATTATTCTCGGTGAGAGAAACACACAAATAATGGGTCACTCACAAACTCACACTGAAGCATGATCGCATACCTCACAATGGAGAGTAGGTCAAACACACACATACCTCACAATGGAGCATAGGTCACATATACACACAACCTCTCAGTGAAGCATACCTCACAGTAGACTATGGGTCTGACAGCTGGTTCCCCTGTGTCTGTGTCTGTCTGTGTGTCTGTCTGATGACTCGACACTTCTAGATACTTCTAGCTTCACTCTGTCCTGAAAACCCATGGTATGTGACGTCACTGTACAATTTACTAATGCTATGGTACAATTAACCAAACTTGACGTTGGTGCCCAGTCGACCTCAGCCTAAACTGAGTATCAACAAATGTCATGGGAAGTAAAATCGACCGATGTTTCTTTGTGTGTGACTATATCACCCTTCGGAAACGGATTGGGCTATAAGAAATCGTATTTTCTTCTTTGATGAGTCCAGTCAAACTGTCCAGCAACAGTAAACATATTTTGATGACCACCTGCCTGTTTAGGTTCCAGAGCCCCGTTGAGGGGGGGGGGGGGGATAATAACAGACTTTTTGCCCCTAACAAGCATGTCGTAAAAGGCGACTAATTAATTAGAACTGCTTAAATCAGATCGTTGAGCTGAAAGTCGCAGATATCAAAGTCCAGCTGTGAAGCACAACATAACGTAATATTAGTACAGAGAAGATAAAACAGGTTTAGCGTAGAGACACGTCACAGAATGAATCCTCCCGATACCCCCCCCCCCCCCACTACTCTTGTCTGCTGAGAAACGAACAGACTGGCTGGATGACAGGACTGACTTGCTGACCTAGAGACAGTCAACTGTCCGATGCTGTGACCGATTTGCTGACCTAGAGACAGTCCTACTGTCCGATGCTGTGACTGACTTGCTGACCTAGAGACAGTCCTACTGTCCGATGCTGTGACCGATTTGCTGACCTAGAGACAGTCCTACTGTCCGATGCTGTGACCGATTTGCTGACCTAGAGACAGTCCTACTGTCCGATGCTGTGACGGATTTGCTGACCTAGAGACAGTCCTACTGTCCGATGCTGTGACCGATTTGCTGACCTAGAGACAGTCCTACTGTCCGATGCTGTGACCGATTTGCTGACCTAGAGTCTGTCCTACTGTCCGATGCTGTGACCGATTTGCTGACCTAGAGACAGTCCTACTGTCCGATGCTGTGACCGAATTGCTGACCTAGAGACACTCCTACTGTCCGATGCTGTGACCGATTTGCTGACCTAGAGTCTGTCCTACTGTCCGATGCTGTGACCGATTTGCTGACCTAGAGACAGTCCTACTGTCCGATGCTGTGACCGAATTGCTGACCTAGAGACAGTCCTACTGTCCGATGCTGTGACCGATTTGCTGACCTAGAGTCTGTCCTACTGTCCGATGCTGTGACCGATTTGCTGACCTAGAGACAGTCCTACTGTCCGATGCTGTGACCGAATTGCTGACCTAGAGACAGTCCTACTGTCCGATGCTGTGACCGAATTGCTGACCTAGAGACAGTCCTACTGTCCGATGCTGTGACGGACTATCTCGTTAGCCCGTGTGGAGCAATTATTACATATTCTATAGCTGACACCGTAGTATGTTTGTTCCACAATTTATTTCGTTCTCAGTTTTTTGTTTTTTTTGTTTTTTTTTATCTCGCTCTTTCTCTTCTCTGTCACTCTATAACTCTCTGTCTCTCTTTATGTCCACAACATATATCCGTCTTAAAGAACTCCTCGTCTTTTATACCTGGATATCTGTCCAGTCGATGGACGGACAGACAGACGAAAACAGAGGCAGTGAAAGATATACAGCTGTAGAATAAGACAGGTAAAGACACAGTTTTGTGAATATGGGAGGGGCGCAAAGAGAGAGGGAGAGAGACAGAGACATATTTGACAGTCAAAATTTATCGCCATATTTGACAGTCAATATTTATCGCCATATTTGACAGTCAAAATGTATCGCCATATTTGACAGTCAATATTTATCGCCATATTTGACAGTCAACATTTATCGCCATATTTTTCACCATATTTGACAGTCAATATTTATCGCCATATTTGACAGTCAATATTTATCGCTATATTTGACAGTCAAAATGTATCGCCATATTTGACAGTCAATATTTATCGCCATATTTGACAGTCAATATTTATCACCATATTTGACAGTCAATATTTATCGCTATATTTGACAGTCAAAATGTATCGCCATATTTGACAGTCAATATTTATCGCCATATTTGACAGTCAATATTTATCGCCATATTTGACAGTCAATATTTATCACCATATTTGACAGTCAATATTTATCGCTATATTTGACAGTCAAAATGTATCGCCATATTTGACAGTCAATATTTATCGCCATATTTGACATTCAATATTTATCGCCATATTTGACAGTCAATATTTATCGCCATATTTGAAAGTCAAAATGTATCGCCATATTTGACAGTCAATATTTATCGCCAGATTTGACAGTCTATATTTATCATCATTCTAGCAATCATCTGCTGACACTGAGTTACCACATCTTAGTGACACCGTTTCACCCACATCATCTCCTTGACATGATCTAACCCACATCATCTCATTAGCATAATCTCATGGTCACCATCTCATAAGTTATTTCACTGACATAATCCCATGGTCAGCATCTCATAAGTTATTTCACTGACATAATCCCATGGTCACCATCTCCTAAGTTATTTCACTGACATAATCCCATGGTCATCATCTCATAAGTTATTTCACCGACATAATCTCATGGTCATCATCTCATAAGTTATTTCACCGACATAATCCCCTGGTCACTATCTCAAAAGTTATTTCACTGACATAATCCCATGGTTACCATCTCAAAAGTTATTTCACTGACATAATCCCATGGTCATCATCTCATAAGTTATCTCACCGACATAATCCCCTGGTCACCATCTCATAAGTTATCTCACTGACATAATCCCCTGGTCCCCATCTCATAAGTTATCTCACTGACATAATCTCACCCACACCATAAAACCCACATCATAATTTCCATATTTATGTTATCCACATTGTCACATGGTCGTAGCTCACCCACTCAGCCACAACCCAGGTGGTCAGATGGCAAACATCTAGCTGTTGACCACAGTCTCGCTAGTGTATACACTCACGCACACAGACACACACACAACAGCGATGGCCACCGTCCAGCTGTATGGGGATGTTTTTGTCCTTCCTCTGCTCCGATGTTCCTTGCCAGTTTGTGAAGAATACTTCAGTGTTTCTTGTCAGTGTCTGGAGAATCTTTGATGTGGACACTTGTAACGGTGTGCATTTGTTACCAGGAGAGTGACTTTATCAGTGTGTCACATAATAAGGCCTAGTGCATCCCCAAATATATGATGGTAGCCCTGGCAGTTGAAGGCCTGGTAGCCCTGACAGTAGAAGGCCTGGTAAACCTCACAGCGGAATGTGAGACGACCGTGTAGGCCTCACAGTTGAGGGCCTGGTAGCCCTGACAGTTGAGGGCCTGGTAGCCCTGACAGTTGAGGGCCTGGTAGCCCTGACAGTTGAGCTCCTGGTAGCCCTGACAGTTGAGGGCCTGGTAGACCTGACAGTAGAAGGCCTGGTAAACCTCACAAGGGAATGTGAGACGACCGTGTAGGCCTCACAGTTGAGGGCCTGGTAGCCCTGACAGTTGAGGGCCTGGTAGCCCTGACAGTTGAGGGCCTGGTAGCCCTGACAGTAGAGGGTCTGGTAGCCCTCACAGTTGAGGGCCTGGTAGCCTTGACAGTAGAGGGCCTGGTAGCCCTGACAGTTGAGCGCCTGGTAAACCTCACAGCGGAATGTGAGACGATTGTGTAGGCACCATGTATATCATACAATTGAGGCTTATTTAGCTTGTCCATGGAGCAGCCATGTCTAGCAACTCCGCCATTAGTGTGGAGTTTTCTGCAGGGATGCAGAAATCAGGAACCGACTTGGAGCCACTATCCACTCGGGCGTAAATAAGGTAATTACAATTTCATTGGTGACCGACCTTCCTAGCAGGCGCAGGCGCAGTTTGTGATCATCCTGTAGGGAAACGGTCTCCACTTGCAGAAGTGACCTGTCTGGGCACACTCCCAGCGAAGAAGGACCTTGTAGGTATAGGAGCTCTCTTTGCACGTCATCCCTGGAGGGAAAGAGCAGGACCTTTCACTGTAGCAGGAGCCTTCCTTGACCCATGGCGGCCAGAATCGAACGCCGAGAAACTTCCAGGTGTGTTTGAGTGGGCACGCCGTGTAGGTCCACAGAAACTTCTGCAACTTGACCCGCTCGCCTTTGGTTATGTTCAGCTTGATTTTTGAACCTCCTTGAACCCGAGCTGCCCGCAACAAATTCAGATAGCTAGGGCGGCGTCCCTTGGGCCTGCCGTGAATGAGCTGGATTAGTGTGGCAGTGTCTGCTCGGTTTCTAGGATCTCTCACCGACATGTAGTCGGCGTCAAATCTGCTGCCCAGATGCTGGTACAGGAAGGTGGAGTTAATGTCTCGGGGTCGGGGGTCGAATGGGTTTCTCTCGTTCTCCCTTAGGTCATCGATGGGCAGGTGTTTCGAACCTGCCGGGGTCTCTGCTGTGCGATCCACCTCAGTCTGGTCTTCAGACTTCAACAGGTGGAAGTACACTTTGGACACCTGGGCACTCAGGATTCGGCTGGCGGATGCTCTCACCATCATCATGAGAAACAAGGTCAGCAGCTTCATGGTGGTAGAGGTCAGGAGGGCGACCTGTGGACAGAGGAAACAGATGAGGTCATCCAGTGCTTGCTTTAGTGCAACCAGACAGTTGGGGTCTGGCAGGGGAGACAGGCTAAATGTTTCATAGACTGACATAACTAGCTTCAGTACAACCAGACAACTGGGGTCTAGCAGGGGAGATAGACTAAATGTTTCATAGACTGACATAACTGGCTTCAGTACAACCAGACAACTGGGGTCTGGCAGGCGAGATAGGTTAAATGTTTCATAGACTGACATAACTGGCTTCAGTACAAGTAGACAACTGGGGTCTGGCAGGAGAGACAGGTTAAATGTTTCATAGACTGACATAACTGGCTGCAGTAATACCAGACAACTGGGGTCTGGCAGGGGAGACAGGTTAAATGTTTTATAGACTGAGGTAAGGAACTTCGAGTGGACGCATGGGTCCTCTTGTGTTATCTAGAACCCACTATCTTTGGTTTCTATTCATATGGGATCTTTCTTTCACCTGCGTGGTTTCTCGTCACGTGAACTTTGTTAGTGATAGTCATCATCATTATCAGTTGCATTAGCAATATAAATATTTTATCGGCAATTTTCCTTCGATGGGTCACGTCAACAACATCGTGCCGGCCGCCTTTACTCGTATTTGCTTTTTCTTAAGCCTAATGTAGACTGGCTCAAATTGGCAACCAGGGCTAATCTGTTTATGAACTCACATGCGTCGACGCGAATCCAAGAGCTACATTTCGTCAGGCCAGACTGACTGACTGACTTTCTACCCCGCCAGGACATCACACAAGCGATAAACACCCGATGACACAAAGTGCCACCATGCGGTTGAGGATCGCCGTGGAGAGGTCCCAGAAACCGCGTTCAGACATTTGGCCATATGTATGGCCTGCCTATATTGCGGCCCCTGGCAAAAGCCAGAGTGGGGCTTCAAATAAAAAATTACTTCCTAAGGACGTAGAGAATTTTCGTCAGGCCAGCGTTTAGCTACTCCGCTACCACAGCTCCCATTAACATATAATGGTACTTTGATTTTAGCTTACTTCACACGTGGGAATCCCCGGGAGAGTCCAATATTATAGTGTGTCTGTCTATCTTCTTTTACCACACCAGGACATCACACATGCAATAAACACCTGATGACACAAAGTGCCACCATGTGGATGAGGATCACCAGTGGAGGGGTTCCAGGAACCGCGTTCAGCCATTAGACCATATTTATTGTCGGGCTATATTGCGGCCCCTGGCAAGAGCCAGAGTAGGGCTTCAAACAACGACAAATTGCATCCCCCAAAGGGACAACGAGACTGATTATAGTTATAGGGTAGTAGTTGTAGTAGATTTTTACTTCACTGGGACATCACACATGCAATAAACACCTGATGACACAAAGTGCCACCATGTGGATTAGGATCACTAGTGGAGGGGTTCAAGGAACTGCGTTCAGCCATTAGACCATATTTATTGTCGGGCTATATTGTGGCCCCTGGAGGAGCCAGAGTAGGGCTTCAAGTAACGAAAAATTGCATCTCACACATGCAATAAACACCTGATGACACAAAGTGCCACCATGTGGATGAGGATCACTAGTGGAGGGGTTCAAGGAACTGCGTTCAGCCATTAGACCATATTTATTGTCGGGCTATATTGCGGCCCCTGGAGGAGCCAGAGTAGGGCTTCAAGTAACGAAAAATTGCATCTCACAAGAAGATGACTAGATTATAGTGGATATAGGGTTTACGGTCTGACTGACTGACTTTCTACCCCACTAGGACATCACACAAAGTGCCACCATGTGGATGAGGATCGCCGTGGAGAGGTCCCAGAAACCGCGTTCAGACAATTGGCCATATTTATGGCCTGCCTATATTGCGGCCCCTGGCAAAAGCCATGGTGGGGCTTCAAATAACAAAAAATGTCGTCCTAAAAAGAACGAAACTATTTTTTTTTTTTTCTTTACGTTTATTGGTTGAAAACATGGTTTACAATATAAGAACGAAACTATATATGACCAAAGGAAGGTCATGCACAATAATGATAAGGTTTACGGTCTGACTTTCTACCCCACTAGGACATCACACAAGCGATAAACATCCAATGACACAAAGTGCCACCATATGGATGAGGATCACCGTGGAGAGGTCCCAGAAACCGCGTTCAGACAATTGGCCATATTGATGCCCTGCCTATATTGAGGCCCCTGGCAAAAGCCAGAGTGGGGATTCAAATAACAAAAAATTACGTCCTGAAAAGGACGTAAGGAATCTGATGTATATTATAAGGTTTACGGTTACACCTTTTGTGAACTATTCCGGGGATTACCGTTTGGGGTGAGCAAAAATCAAAATACCCAAATCATTTAGCCACTACACCATCTCGGCTCTCATAAACATTTGGTATAACCAGTGTGCAACCTCGGCTGCCATCTATAAAATAAAACACAAAATCCATGTGTTTGTCCAAAATTTGTAATCGCGCTGACTCCTAAACGATGGCGGCTTTAACTGACAGGTATCATTCAGACTAATTATATCTCTTCTAAACTTCCCTTGGCCGTGTATTTAATCAACTGAAAGGGCAATCACTCAGAGTCACAGGCTTGGTTCATTGTAACAGTAACTTGGCGTATGGCTGTAGAATCAGATTTGAAGACCGATTTTTTTCCAACTCTGTAGTATATTAAACATTGTATGGTATGATATTTCATAGCCCAGAACTGAGATACATTTGAGGAGTATAAAAAATCAGAATGAATGTAGACTGCTTTACTCTTTCGCGGGAAATGCCGAGATATTCAAACATATAATTTAGCAACTGCGCCACCTCAGCTCCCATCAACATATAGTTTAGCTACTGCGTCATGACGGCTTCAACAAATTTATAGTTTAGCCACTGCGCCACCTCAGCCCCGATAAACCTACAATAAAGCTCCCACATCAGAGTACAGGGTTCAGGTACAAGCTAAATAAGCTACAACTTAGGGCCTCACAATCTGCAATGGCCTCGAAAATCATAATCTTGTTTCAACAGAGAGCATCGTGTGTCTCCAGATACATTGTCCCGACTGAGAATCATGTCTAGAAAGCTATATTTTATGTGACGTACATTTTGCATTTTTATGAAATAATCAATGATTTTGCTTTTAGGAATTCAAGAAAAAAATGTTTTAACTTCGAGCCTTTTAGAGGATAATATTATATAATTTCAGTAATTTTGTGAACTTATTCTTGATTACTTCTTGAAATAAAAAAATTTAACAAGAATATATTTTCATTATCCGTATATTTAGAAGATGTATTTATTTTAAAGTTGTATGAAATTACCACCGGCAACGGCATAAATGAGGCTTCACTTAAACAAGCATTTCTGTAATTTTTTTATTTATGTTTATTATTACATACACACACATGCAATAAACTGTTAATGTCAGCATAAACTGAGAGTAGATTTCATTTTGTTCAGCTTGATCAAGAAAGTATTTGTGTAGAAGTGTTTCATTTACGAAAGGTTGAATTTGATTTGCTGAAGGTTGGACTTGATTTGCTGAAGGTTGGATTTGATTTGCTTAAGGTTGGATTTGACTTGCCAGTATTGCAGGATAAGAAATCAGCCCCGATGTTAGCAGAAAAAATTGTAGGAAGAAAAGGCAGCAGGTGTTATGTTAGCATCATCAGTTTCGGTTGTCGATTCGTCAATAAAACCCCGAGCACTATATACTTTCTAAATGTGGCCCACCTGAGTCTGTGACCCACAAGTAGGTCAGTTATGTAAGGGCTGTAGGTGACACTAGCCTAATGCACCCAACATCCCCGCTGGGGCGTCGACACAAAGAATAAATGGAGTGGGTCAGGGCGGGTTGCCTGGCGTGGGGTCAGGCCGGGGAATCGGCCTTCTTAAACATTTTCTAGGAAGAGGGGAACTCTAGTTTTTGCTGGGCTTCACTTGCTTGCATATGTGGATTTACTAACATTACCTAGTTGTTTATCTGAAGGTCGTTGGTTTAAACCCGCACAGACCGTCTTTACTTCCCAGGACTTGACCTATTTCCCATTTAAGGCGGGGTCAACCTGGGAGCCAAGGCTATGTTTAAAAAGAATCCCACCCTGTGCGAATTTGAACCCACGATTTTCGGATCGATAGGCTGCAGTCTAGCTGCTAAACCACGGCGGCTGTCTTAATAAATGAGTGAAAGCTCAAGGTCAAATGTCTAAACGATTGACTGCACCGCGCCCAGGTGTATCTTATATATCCGTCTCTCTCTTTCTCTCTCCAGAACAGCTAGCGACCTGTCAGTGGCATCATACGAAGCACGAACACCGTAGCTCCGGCGACCCTAATAAACTTTCTAGTTGAGGAGAAGAAGAGGATTGGTTCTGCTGATAAAAAAGTTTGCAATTCGGCACAGTCATCAACTTGGACAGGGACAGATGGATCCAGAGAGGACAGGGACAGATGGATACAGAGAGGACAGGGACAGATGGATCCAGAGAGGACAGGGACAGATGGATCCAGAGAGGACAGGGACAGATGGATGAAAAGAGGACAGGGACAGATTGATCCAGAGAGGACAGAGACAGGTGGATCCAGAGAGGACAGGGACAGATGGGCCAAGAGACGACAGGGAAACTACTGAGAATTGTTATATTGAATAATGAGTATGGTTGATACTATTGACAGACCTTTGAATTGCCTTGTTCTTTAAATCTATTAGTTCCTTCAGATTATTTATAATCACAGCTATAGATTATGTAATATTTGTAAGAGGAAACGTTGGGGGGGGGGGGAGAAAAGGAAAAAAAGGGGGGGGGAAGGGGTAAACTCATTTGAGTGGGATAAACTGTTTTCAGATCAAAAAATAAGTGGGATGTCCTTGTTTCAGGTCAAAATATAAGCGGGATTTTTTGTTTTCTGCTCAAGACATGGTTACCCTTAGTAAAAGGGTGTATGTAGTTAAATATACTAAAGTAAAAGGACATGGGTCAAGGACCTTC